ACGCTGACGACGAACACGAGGAACACGAGCACGGACAGCAGCTCTAAGCTCAGGCTCAAGGTCAAAGCTAGACTCAGGCTCTCGACGCTCAGGGGTGGAAGCACGAGTCTCAGGCTCTCGACACTCAGTCAGGGACTCTGACACCGCAGTGTAAGGAGCAGGAGCAGGCAGTGGGGAGTGTGGTAGCAGCGACGGCTGTGACTGGTCCGCTGGTGGACACAGCAACGGAGGAGTAGTACCTGCCACAGGGAAGCCAGTAGCACCTGGCTGAAGACTGAGAAGGTGGCGAAGAGCACTAGTAGCTCCACCAGGACCTCCAGCACCTCCAGCACCTCCAGCCCCAGCAGCTCCAGCGCCTCCAGCACCAGCAGCTCCAGCAGCTCCACGACCTCCAGCACCAGCAGCTCCACGACCTCCAGCACCAGCAGCACCTCCAGTACCTCCAGCACCAGCAGCTCCACCAGGACCAACAGCACCAGCAGCTCCCCGACCTCCAACACCAGCAGCACCTCCAGTACCTCCAGCACCTCCAGGACCTCCAGCACCAGCAGCACCTCCAGGACCTCCAGCACCAGCAGCACCTCCAGTACCTCCAGCACCAGTAGCTCCAGGTCCTCCGGTAGGAGCTCCGACGACACCAACACCAGAAGGACTCGCAGCACCCCCAGAGTCAGCACCCGAACTCGCAGCACCCCCAGAGGCAGGACTCTCGGTCTCAGCACTCGCAGGCTCAGTATTCCAGTCGCAGCACCCTCAGGCTCAGTACCCTCAATCCCAGCACCCCCAGGCTCAGTACCCTCAGTCTCTGCTCCAGTGTCCACAGCAGCAGGCTGCAGAGGCGGCGAAGACGGCAGAGGTGGGAACCCGGGGGGTGTAGCCAGACGAGGAGAGCGGGCACCCCCGGACTCACCACCCCCAGCCCCAGCTCCAGTGGTCTCAGCTCCAGAGTCCACAGCAGCAGGCTGCGGAGGCGGCGAAGACGGCCGTGGCGGGAAACCCGGGGGGGTCTCCAAGCGAGGAGTGCGGCGAGTGGTCGCCGTGTCGTCGGCGACGGCGTCACCCCCCTCAGGTGAGTCAGAGGAGTCAGAAGAGATCTCAACTGGCTCATCCAAGGGGGGTGGGTCTACCTGGGACACACCTGAGGGAGCAGGACCCTGTGGGGGAAGGGGGTCTACCGGGGGGGGGAATGGTACCAGGAAGAGAGGTGCGAGAGGGACCGGGTGGGACGCGTGCGGGTGATGTCGGTAGTAACAGACCGACTCCTCGAAGGTGACGTCCTGAGAGGACAGAACACGACGCAAACGGCCACAGGAAATGGGGAGCAGCCGCATGGATCATGGAGGTACGAGCAACCTCCATGATCAGGCTAATGCGACGCTCAGCGATCCCATCTTGCTGCGGAGAGGCCGGAAGCGTGAACGACTGGGCGATGCCCTCATTCTGCCAGAACGTCTCAAAGACGCCAGAGGAGAACTCACCACCCCTGTCAGAGTGCAGACGCAGGACTGGAAAGTCCCGCCGAAACCGCTCGCGCAGCTGGTGACGAGTAACACGGATCCAGGGGATCAAGACACCACTGACATCCGCCTTGCGCCGCAAGGGGAAGACTGTGGTGTAGCGTGTGTAATCGTCAACCACCAGCAGGAAGTAGCGCTCCTGGTCCGTTCCACCGACGGGGGCCGGGCCCCACACGTCCAGGTGGAGAGTCTGCAGAGGAGCAGTGGTCGGAGGAAACTCGGAGGAGTGAGGAGCGGCGCGCTGCCGCCCCTCGACGCAAGGAAGGCACGGCGGCGCAAGCGAGCGCGGGAGGGGGGGCAGGGTCGCAGGGAGGCCAGAGACCAGGAGCCGGGAGTGCATGCCGCGCAGACGCAGCTGCGACGGGTGGCCAAGACGGTGGTGCCAAAGCTGCGCAGGCTGGGTGAGGAGGCGACACGAGCAGGACGCAGCGAGCTGACCGGACGCAGCCACCTGACCAGACGCAGCTACCTGTGCAGACGCTGTGGTGAGTGTGTACAGGTTCGACCCCGGCTGTCGTGTGAACGTAGCCAGGTGACGGCCTGTCTTGGCGCATGTGCAGATCGCCACACGCTGACCTCCAAGAGTAAATGTGTCAACCCATACGTCCTGAAGGACGGCGTTGCTCACCAGGTTCGTCGAGAACGAGGGGAGGTGGAGACCGGACAGAGAGCCAGAGGGGACAGCTGGGCACGGGAGGACAGTGGAGTGGCGTGCAACCACCGGGCCCCCAGAGGGGTCCGCCAGTGGGACTGGGACTGGGGTAGTGAGTGCGGTGACAGTGGTGCTGTCGCGAAAGAAGCAGCGTGACGCACCAGAGTCAAGTGTGAAAGTGTGCAAGACCTCAGCAGTAGCAGCAGACTCACTAGCACCTGGGGCAGTAGCGACACTAGCACCTAGGGCAGCAGCAGACGCACTAGCACCTATGGGAGAAGCATCACCACCAGCATCGCATGGCACACACGAGTAACACGCACCCTCAACACTATAATCAGAAACATACATAGCATAGAGAGCAGCATTGATCTTAGCAAAGTCAAGAGCAAACACATCTACCCCCTTCCCTATCAGCTGCAGCCAGTTCGGGACCTGCTGGTCCTCGGAGTACTCAGTCACCCAGGCGTCCTCAAGACGGCCGAAGCACTTGTACTCAGTGTGCGGCTTCCCGCAGACTGTGCCCTTCAGAAGCCCCGTGCGCCGGACATAAGGGCAGCGACCAGAGCCCCCACACTGGAGAACCCACTCACGGAGCTGCTGGTCGGTGGGGTTGTCCGGGAGGCGCGGCAGCTGCTGACCACTCCCGTAGCCACGGGAGGGTCCACGAGCACCACCACCCCTGCCAGACCCACCCCGACCTCCTCCACCGCCCCCGCTACCCCAACCGCCTCCCCCACCACCGCCGCCTCCTCCACCCTGTCCGCCTCCTCCACTGCCGCCACCCCCAGAGCCACCCCCAGAGCCTCCACCACCCCCGCCACCCCCTCCGCTGCTGCCACCACCACCACCCCTGCCCCCTCTGCCTTGCTGTTGTTGCGCCGTCCACTGGGAGCAGACGCAACGCCAACGTCCTCAGCACCAAGGAGGTCGACTGCAGCAGCGGTAGCAACTGAGGGGAGGAGAGGGGAGGGAGTACACCCTTCAAAGAAGGGGGAGCGGGGGGTGCCACGAGAGGCAGCGACAGCGACAGTGCTCTTCTCAACCTCGAGAAGGGCCTTCTCAAGCGAGTCAAGTGTGAGCTCAGTGGGGTCCATGGCTAGGAATTGGTCCCTGACAGTGCGAAGGGAGTCAGGGAGGCGAGTGATAAGAAAGTAGAGGGTGAAGTACTGCGGGGGGGGGGGGTTCTTAGAGAGAAAGTCCGGCTTGAGAGCGGCACGGAAGCGATCCTCACTAGAGCGGAGGTGGGTAAAGAGGTAAGAGACAGTGCGGAACTCAGCTAGATCGGGATGCAGGTACGGCAGCATGAGACGACCTACAGCAGCAGTAGCTGGGGAGGAGTAGCGAGAAACTACAGCGTCATAGAGATCCTTGGCCGTTTTCTGCCGGCTAAAGTGCGCGCGCTCAGTGACTGGCAGGTGGTTGCGGACAGCAAGGCAGGCAGCTGCATCACGTATGAGCCACTTAGACAGATCCTCTACAGCGTCGGCAGCAGGGGGTGGGAGCTTTCCCTCTGTGTGCAAAAACATGGAAACACAATCCTTAGACTCGCTCTGCAGGAACAGCTGGAGATCGTCGAGCCAGACATCAAAGGTAATCGCGCGGCCCTCAGCATCGAACGTAAGAACTGACAGGTTAGCCATAGCAGCAGTAGCACTAGCTGTAGCAGCAGTAGTTGCAGCAGCAGCAGTAGTGACAGCTCGGGCTGGGCGGCGCGGCTCGGACAGGGCGGCGCGGCTCGGACAGGGCGGCGCGGCTCAGGCTCAGTGGCGGAGCAGCAGCGGCAAGCAGCAGCATTCGGTGCTCAGTAGCAGCAGCAGCAGCAAGGAGGAGCAGCTGCAGCAAGTAGCACGGGCTGTAGCAGCAGGAGCTTTAGTAGCAGCAGCAGTAGCACTAGCTGTAGCAGCAGTAGCTTCAGTCAGTAGCAGCTTTAGCAAGTGCCGTAGTAGCAGCAGCAGCAGTAGCACTAGCTGTAGCAGCACTAGCTTCAGTAGCAGCAGCAGTGAGTAGCACTAGCTGTAGCAGCAGTAGCGTCAGTAGCAGCAGCAGTGACAGCTCAAGCAGTAGCAAGGAGGAGCAGCTGCAGCAAGTAGCACGGGCTGTAGCAGCAAGAGCTTCAGTAGCAGCAGCAATAGCACTAGCTGTAGCAGCAGTAGCTTCAGTCTGTAGCAGCTGTGACAGCTCGGGCTGGGCGGCGCGTAGTAGCAGTAGGCGCGCGTGGGCTGTGGGCGTGCAAACCAGGGGCGCGCAACATGTGCGTGCGGGGCAGCACTACGAGGAGCGCGCAGCAGGTGCGTGCTAGGGGCTGGCGGGCAGCGTGAGTGGCGCGCGCAGCAGCTAGGAACGAGGGGGGACCGGGTGTAGGGGCTGACGGGCCGCGCGAGAGGCGCACGGGGCAGCTAGGGCGCGGTTAGGGGGGGGGTCGCACGTGACTAGGAAGAAAAAAATCGCGACTATGGCAGAAAACGGAACCGTCTCGCCTAGGGCACGCTTTCGCATTTCGCGTTTCTCCTAGGGGCGCGACTCGGGCAGCAGATCGAAATAGTAGTGGTGGGCCCTTTTAGAAATTCGGTCCTAAGGAGCATTGTGCTCTGATACCAAGTTAGAATCACTAGCTAGGTGAGAATGATCGATTAGGTAAGGGGGGGGGTACAAGGACTATCGAGAGTGAATGTTGTACCCTCTAAGGAAAGAACCCTACACAACCTAGAGTGAAATAAGCATAACAATATGTTTTGACATCGCCTTCCTCTCTCCCTTCGCCTTTCCTCTCTCTCTCTTCGCCCTGCCTCTCCCGTCGCCCTTCCTATCTCCCGTCGTTTTCCTCTCTCATGTTGCCCTTCGCCTTTCCCGTCGCCCTTCCTCTCTCGTTGCCCTTCCTCTCTCCCATTGCCCTTCCTCACTCCCGTCTCCCTTCTTCTTCCGCCTCCCGCCGCCCTCGCGTCCCATCGCAATCGCCTTCCCAACTCACTCCCGCCGCCCTCGTGTCCCATCGCAATCGCCTCCCGTCACCCTCCGTGTCGGCCTCCCGTTGCTCGTACTGTCGCTCGTCCCGTCGCCCGTCCAATCGCACGACCGTCGCTCGTCCCGTCGTTCGTTACGCCATCTCGTAGTAATATGGACCTTCCTGCAGCCAACCAGTTCTGCTATATTTTCTTGATCTAATTATAGGAATCTTAATTTCGTTAACAATTACCTCCCCTCGCGTCGTTCCTCTTCTCTTCCCTCCCCTCCCGTCGATCCCTCTTCAGGTCCTTGTTCCCGTTCCCTCGCTCTCTCTCCCTCCCTTCCCGTCGCCCTCGCTCTCTCCCCTCCCTTCCCGTCGCCCTCGCCCTCTCCCCCCATTTTCCGTCGCCCTCTCTCTCTCCCCTCCTTTTCCGTCGCCCTTATTCTCTTCCCTCCCTTTCTGTCGCCCTTGCTCTCTCCCCTCCCTTTCCGTCGCCCTCGCTCTCTCCCCTGCCTTTCCGTTGCCCTCGCTCCAACTCATCTCACCCTCCCCAATGCCCCTCCCATCACCCTACCATTCCGCGGATTTTGCTCACGTACATCTACTCTCATTTCTGTTGCACCATCTGTTCTTCTCTCGTCCTCTGATATCCAGCTCTTTTTTCGCTTCTTGTTTTTCCCATGTTGTTATTGCCGCCCTGCAGGCCCATGTCTAAGGCCTTTGCTCTGCGTGAGTTGGACTTGCTTTGCATGAGTTGGACATGCTTCACGTTGTGAATTTGGCGCTGGATGTAAATGAGACTTGCACGTCGCAAACTTTTGAGCGACGCATTTGCACATGCTTGCGACGAATTTTGTTTGAGACGAAATGTGGAAACACGATCGGTATCATGTGCGCCACAAAAAAAAAAAAAAGGAGCACTTCAACATTCTAGTGGACCCAACTAGAAGGGGGGGGTCACTATTTTAGCTGCTGGCTTTAAAGAATAAACAAAATATATACTACCGCTTCCCCAGCCTAGCATGGGGGGGAAGTCAGCAGTCTAAACAAAATCATGACAACGCAATACAGTCGGCAAATCCCAAAGAAACATCTACACCGATCAAGTCCAGCTGAAAATGGCTTCACTGTCATAGTGGGGCGCTACTCAACCTTTTGTGACGATGATCGGCGAGATACATCTTTGAAATATGCAGACATGCATTACGGTTGCAACAAGAAGCATAGTACAAACAGAAATGGAACAAATCAAACAATTACTCAAAATTATAATGAACTCCAACAATTGCACTTTAAGTTGTACGAAAAAATGTTTCCATCCCACCAATGAACCAGTATCTGCAATAACAAAAACACAAGCATCGAATGCAAGAAAAAAGAAAGAGTAGAAAGAATTTAAGCTTAGAAGAGACAAGCTGAGAAAATGAAGAGAATGGATGTAGAAGATAAGCAACTCCACAAGCTAGGAAAAGCAGGGAAAAGCACGCAACTAACGACACAATCTCATACATTAGCTAAACATATGAGATGGGAACGTCGTAGTAGAGAAGAAATGAAAGCAGTAGAAGATAATACGGATGTGGGCAAGGAAGGTAGAGAGAATCCAAGAAAGAACGACGAAATGAATCAAAGACAAGTTGAAGTCTCTACAAAAGGCCAAGAACCTTAGCGCAAACGGCCAACCATAGAAGTAAGCGAATAGGACATGACATTAAGAAGATGTTAATCTAGCTTTCAATCATGTAACTTAGTTCTAGTTAATAGCTTAGGGTTTTCTCACCTTTTAGTGGTAGGTGGAGCGTGAGTAGGGGTCGGATGTCAGGAACCAGGCTCCACTACCGAGGGGAAGGGAGAGAGAGAAAAAAAATATAAGGAAGGGTGAAAAAAGGATAGAGCAAAAAAAGTCACGAAAACCAAGAGAAACGTTACTGAATGAGGCATTGTTCGAATGGAAGGAACAAGTAGACATAAACTCCAGAAACAGAATGAACGAGATAGTATGGAACGAACATGGGACTGGAACGAAAAAAGAGGGAAAAACAACAACCGGATAGCATATAAATAGAGAAAACGATTCATGGTAAGCGAGAGATAAGAGCGCGATAGGGAAAGATGCAGCCTTATTAACGATCTCAAGAATACAAGGACAGGTGGCGTCTTTACAAAAGCCTAGAACCTAGGTTTCAACAGCTTTCACTCCATTAAAACGACCAAACGAAGATCTTAGTCTAGCTTGAAACCGTCTAGCATAGTCTCTAGTTGATAGCTAGGGGTCTTCTCACCTTTCAGTGATAGCAGTAGATGGAACGTGAGTAGCTGGCTCATATCAGAAACTAAGCTCCATTGGCGAGTGGGAGGGATGGAGAAAAAAATGAACATTGAAACCCTAAGGACGCGTCACCTCTCTCGATTTTGCTCGATCGATCCTGCGCAGGATCAAATGTTTACGGAGTTGAAAACGGTTAAAAAAATATAGAATGTAACAAGCAGGTTTTCAGTGCGGTTGGTGATCGGTTTTTTACGATCGATCGTGCAAAATCGAGAGAGGTGACGCGTCCTAAGGCAGTTGACAATTCGTCGCACAGAAACTGGACCTAATGTTTAAAATCCCAAAATTAATGTGATCTCAGTAGCACAGTCATAGGAAATTGCGCGTCGGGCCGAGAGATCTCCTGTTCGTTGTCTGGAATGCTTCACATCTTTTGAAATAGCAAAAAAACACTAAGAAATTTTCAAGTTTTGTACTCTTTGAAAGTTGTTTCTTTAGAAGTTGTACATGTTAATGTACTTTTGCAAAATGCTTCGCAACCCTAAGACGATTTCGTCGCCTCTTGTTTTTTTTTTTTTTTTTTTTTTTTTTTGTATTGATAATTCCGCATGCTTGCATGATTCCATTTGGACCTGTAGTTGTCCAATATCTCTTCAGCAAAATAGACTTCAAATAGCTCTCAAAGTGTCAAAACATATTGTTATGTTCTTACTCTAGGTTGTGTAGGGTCACACCTTAGAGGGTACAACCCAACTCTCTCGACACTCTTGTACCCCCTCTCCCTCACCTAGTCATCATTCCTCACCTAGCTACTAGTGATTCTAACATGGTATTAAGAGCACAATGCTCCTTAGGACCGAATGTTTAAAAGGGCCCACCACTACTATTTCGATCTACTGCCCGAGTCGCGCCCCTAGGAGAAACGCGAAATTCGAAACCGTGCTCTAGGCGAGACGGTTCCTTTTTCTGCCCTAGACGCGATTTTCCTTCCTAGTCACGTGCGACCCCCCCTGACCGCGCCTTAGCTGCCAGTACAGCCCGCGTAGGCCCGTCGCGAAGCCCGTACAGCCCGCGTAGGCCCGTCGCGAAGCCCGTACAGCCTGCGCCAGGCCGTCGCGCAGCCCGTACAGCCCACGTCAGGCCCGCACCCAGCTCGTAAAGCCCGCGCCAGGCCCGCACGCAGCCCTTACAGCCCGCGCCTGGCCCGCACGCGGCCCGTGTTACTGCTGCACTCGCTGCTGCTGCTACACTGCTGCGCCTGAACTGCTGCTGCAGTGCTGCTGCCGCCTGTACTGCCCTGAAACTGCTGCTGCTACTTGCTGCAGCTGCTCCTCCTTGCTGCTGCTGCTGCTACTTGCTGCAGCTGCTCCTCCTTGCTACTGCTGCTACAGCTAGCGCTACTCACTGCTGCTGCTACTGAAGCTAGTGCTGCTACAGCTAGTGCTACTGCTGCTGCTGCTACTACCGAACTTGCTACAGCTGCTACTGACTGAAGCTACGGCTGCTACAGCTAGTGCTACTGCTGCAGCTCCTACTCCAACACTTGCTACAGCTACTATTGACTGAAGCTACTCCAGCTACAGCTAGTGCTACTGCTGCAACTCCTACTCCAGCACTTACTGCAGCTGCTCCTGACTGAAGTTACTGCTGCTACAGCTAGTACTACTGCTGCAGCTCCTACTACTTCACTTGCTACAGCTAGTGCTACTGCTGCAGCTCCTACTCCAGCACTTGCTACAGCTGCTCCTGACTGAAGCTACTGCTGCTTGACTGAAGCTACTGCTGCTACAGCTAGTACTACTGCTGCAGCTCCTACTACTTCACTTGCTACAGCTAGTGCTACTGTTGCAGCTCCTACTACTGCACTTGCTACAGCTAGTGCTACTGCTGCTCTGCCACTGTGTCCGAGCCGCGCCGCCCAGCCCGAGCTGTCACTACTGCTGCTACTGCAACTACTACTGCTACAGCTAGTGCTACTCGGTCTACTGCTGCTGCTCGGTCTGCTGCTGCTGCCCGAGCCGCCCTGCTACTGCTGCTACTGGAGGGAGTACTGCTGGGAGTGGTGGAGGTGCGGCCTCCCACCCCCACCGAACCGCCCTGCTGTTGTTACTACTGCTGCTGCTGCTACTTGTGCTACTGGGAGTGGAGGAGGTGCTGCTGGGAGTGTAGGAGGTGCTGCTGGCGCTGTAGGAGCTGGAGGTGCTGGACCTACTCCTGACAGTCACTGTCTGTCATGGCCACTTCCGCGGCAGTCGCTGCGGCCAGGGGTGGACAGCAGCGGGCACTGCTTCTCCCGGACGACCCCACCCCTCGGCAGCTTCGTGAGTGGGTTATTCAGCGAGGTCGTCCTGGTGGTGGAGGTTATCGTTCTGTTAAGACCGCTGCTCTTGGTGTTAGTGAGTCTGCTGCCACTCCAGGTGTTAGTCAGTCTGCTGCCACTCCAGGTGTTAGTGAGTCTGCTGCAGCTCTAGGTTCCCGTGAGTCTACCGACGCTCTAGTTGCTAGTGCGTCTACTACCACAGGTCCTGCCTCAGCTGAGGTCTTGCACACTTTCACGCTTGACTCCGGCGCGTCACGTTGCTTCTTCCGTGATTGCACCACAGTCACACCACTCACAGCACCTGTCCCAGTCTCACTGGCTGACCCCTCTGGGGGCCCAGTGGTTGCGAGAGCCTCCACGGTCCTCCCTTGTCCAGCAGTCCCCTCCGGATCTTTGTCAGGTCTCCACCTCCCAACGTTCTCGACGAACTTGGTGAGCAACGCTGCCATTCAGGATGTCTGGGTTGATACCTTTATTCCTGGAGGGCAGCGTGTGGCGATCTGTACGTGCTCCCGGACTGGCCGTCACCTGGCTACGTTCACTCGACAGCCTGGGTCTAGTCTGTACACACTGACCACTGCGTCTGCACAGGTGGCTGAGTCAGGTCAGGTAGCTACGTCGAGTCGAGCGTCTGCGTCAGGACAATTAGCTGCGTCTTGCTCGTGCCGAGTACTCACGCACGAGACTCGGCGCTGGCACCACCGTCTTGGTCACCCCTCCCTGCAGCGTCTGCGCCGCATGCACTCCCGGCTCCTGGTCACTGGCCTCCCTGAGACCCTGCCCCCCCTCCCGCGCTCACTTGCGCCGCCGTGCCTTCCTTGCGTCGAGGGGCGGCAGCGCGCCGCTCCTCACTCCTCCGAGTTTCCTCCGACCACTGCTCCTCTGCAGACTCTCCACATGGACGTGTGGGGCCCGGCCCCCGTCGGTGGAACGGACCAGGAGCGCTACTTCCTGCTGGTGGTTGACGACTACACACGCTACACCACAGTCTTCCCCTTGCGGCGCAAGGCGGATGTCAGTGGTGTCTTGATCCCCTGGGTCCGTGCTACTCGTCACCAGCTGCGCGAGCGGTTTCGGCGGGACTTTCCAGTCCTGCGTCTGCACTCTGACAGGGGTGGTGAGTTCTCCTCTGGCATCCTTGAGACGTTCTGCCAGGATAAGGGCATCGCCCAGTCGTTCACGCTTCCGGCCTCTCCGCAGCAAAATGGGATCGCTGAGCGTCGCATTGGCCTGATCATGGAGGTTGCTCGTACCTCCATGATCCATGCGGCTGCTCCCCATTTCCTGTGGCCGTTTGCGGTCCGATACGCCGCGCATCAGCTCAACCTCTGGCCCCGTGTCTCTGCTCCAGAGACCTCGCCCACACTCCGTTGGACGGGACAGCCTGGTGATGCGTCGTCGTTTCGGGTCTGGGGCGCGCTCTCCCTTGTTCGCGATACCAAAGCGAGCAAGCTCTCCCCTCGCACTCTCCGCTGTGTCTTCCTCGGCTTCCCCACCGACGCTCCACCCTGGCAGTTCTACCACCCTGCCTCGCGTCGTGTTCTGTCCTCTCAGGACGCCACCTTCGACGAGTCGGTCTGTTACTACCGACTTCACCCGCACGCATCCCACCCGGTCCCTCTCGCGCCTCTCTTCCTGGTACCAGTCCCCCCCCCAGGTAGACCCACCCCCCTTGGATGAGCCAGTTGAGATCTCTTCTGACTCCTCTGACTCACCTGAGGGGGGTGACGCCGTCGCCGACGACACGGCGACCACTCGCCGCACTCCTCGCTTGGAGACCCCCCCGGGTTTCCCGCCACGGCCGTCTTCGCCGCCTCCGCAGCCTGCTGCTGTGGACTCTGGAGCTGAGACTACTGGAGCTGGGGCTGGGGGTGGTGAGTCCGGGGGTGCCCGCTCTCCTTGTCTGGCTACACCCCCCGGGTTCCCACCTCTGACGTCTTCGCCGCCTCTGCAGCCTGCTGCTGTGGACACTGGAGCAGAGACTGAGGGTACTGAGCCTGGGGGTGCTGGGACTGAGGGTACTGAGCCTGGGGGTGCTGGGACTGAGGGTACTGAGCCTGGGGGTGCTGGGACTGAGGGTACTGGACCTGAGGGTGCTGCGACTGAGGGTACTGAGCCTGCGAGTGCTGAGACCGAGGGTCCTGCCTCAGGGGGTACTACGAGTTCGGGTGCTGACTCTAGGGGTGCTGCGAGTCCTTCTGGTGTTGGTGTCGTCGGAGCTCCTACCGGAGGACTTGGAGCTACTGGTGCGGGAGGTACTGGAGGTACTGCTGGTGCTGGAGGTCCTGGAGGTGCTGCTGGTGCTGGAGGTCCTGGAGGTGCTGGAGGTACTGGAGGTGCTGCTGGTGCTGGAGGTCGGGGAGCTGCAGGTGCTGCTGGTCCTGGTGGAGCTGCTGGTGCTGGAGGTACTGGAGGTGCTGCTGGTGCTGGAGGTCGTGGAGCTGCTGGTGCTGGAGGTACTGGAGGTACTGCTGGTGCTGGAGGTCGTGGAGCTGCTGGAGCTGCTGGTGCTGGAGGAGCTGGAGCTGCTGGGACTGGAGGTCCTGGAGGTGCTGGAGGTCCTGGTGGAGCTACTAGTGCTCTTCGCCACCTTCTCAGTCTTCAGCCAGGTGCTACTGGCTTCCCTGTGGCAGGTACTACTCCTCCGTTGCTGTGTCCACCGGCGGACCAGTCACAGCCGCCGCTGCTACCACACTCCCCACTGCCTGCTCCTGCTCCTTACACTGCGGTGTCAGAGTCCCTGACTGAGCGTCGAGAGCCTGAGACTCGTGCTTCCACCCCTGAGCGTCGAGAGCCTGAGTCTAGCTTTGACCTTGAGCCTGAGCCTAGAGCTGCTGTCCGTGCTCGTGTTCCTCGTGTTCGTCGTCAGCGTGCTCCGGCTGTCCCCGGCACTCACGATATGACACTCCGTCCTTCCTCTGTTCCTCAGCGTGTTGTCCTACCGTTACCTCCAGCGTCCTCTTTGCCTGACGTTGCTGACCCTCCGTCTGACCTTGCTCGTGCGTCCAGTCCGACTGTTACTCGCCTTCTTGCTACGGTTGTGACGGACCCTACGTTCTCGTCTCCTGCTGCGTCTGCCCTAGTAGCTGAGCTCGTTGACTTTGCTGCTGTGTACCACCTCGACTACCTTGCGGGTCTTGTCTCTGACCCTGTCCTTGCCTGTCCTCCGTCCGTCGGGGGTGAGACTGCTCTTGGCTGCACTGCCCTTGGCTGTGACGTTCTTGAGGACAGACAGGAGGAGCTGGAGTGCCTTGCTGCCGCTTCACCTCATCACGCGACCATGCTGCTTGCCCCTGAGGGAGACCCGGATGCACTTGACATCCCCACCCCGCGCTCCTACAGGGAGGCGATTTCGGGTGAGTACTCCTCTCAGTGGCAGACAGCCATGGACGCAGAGATGGCTTCCTGGAAGTCCACAGGCACCTACGTCGACGAGGTTCCCCCACCTGGGGCGAACATCGTCAGTGGCATGTGGATTTTCAGGGTGAAGCGGCCGCCGGGTTCTCCGCCTGCCTTCAAGGCACGTTACGTTGCTCGAGGCTTCAGTCAGCGTGAGGGGGTCGACTTCTTTCAGACCTTCTCTCCCACCCCGAAGATGACCACTCTTCGGGTGTTGCTACACGTTGCAGCTCAGCGTGACTACGAGCTGCACTCCCTCGACTTCTCGACAGCTTTCTTGCAGGGTAGCCTTCACGAGGCCATCTGGTTGCGCCGTCCACAGGGCTTCACTGGGTCGTTTCCTGAGGGTACCCAGTGGAGCCTACGGCGACCAGTGTACGGCTTGCGTCAGGCGCCCCGCGAGTGGCACGACACACTGAGGACACTTGCGGCTCTTGGGTTTGCTCCTTCGACTGCTGACCCGTCGCTGTTTCTACGCACCGACACTACTCTGCCGCCGTTCTACATCCTCGTGTACGTCGACGACTTGGTTTTTGCTACTGCTGACACTGAGGCACTGGCCCTAGTGAAGGCGGAGCTGCAGGAGAGACACACCTGCACTGACCTGGGTGAGCTGCGGAGCTATCTTGGCTTGCAGATCACCCGGGACAGACCACGGCGCACCATCACCATGACTCAGTCACACATGGTGCACCAGGTCCTACAGCGCTTCCGCTTCACGTACTCCTCGCCACAGCCCACTCCTCTGGCTACCGGCCACTCGCTCTCAGCTCCACCTTCGGACGAGTCCGTAGAGCCGAGTGGTCCGTACCCAGAGCTTGTGGGCTGCCTCATGTACCTGATGACGTGCACACGACCTGACCTCGCGTACCCTCTCAGCCTTCTGGCTCGCTACGTGGCATATGGCAGGCACCGAAAGGTGCACTTTGATGCTGCGAAGAGGGTACTGCGTTACTTGTGCAGCACATCGGGCATGGGGCTCGTGCTTGGAGGACGGGGTTCGGTGGTCCTCACAGGACACTCTGACGCCTCTTGGGCCGACGACCAGGCGACTCAGCGTTCGTCACAGGGCTACACCTTCAGTCTTGGCGCTGGTTCTGTCTCGTGGAGGTCCACTCGTTCTTCTTCTGTGCTTGGTTCCAGTTGTGAGGCCGAGATCTACGCTGGGGCCATGGCTGCACAGGAGCTCCGCTGGCTGACCTACCTGCTGACCGACTTGGGGGAGCGGCCTCGTTCTCCTCCAGTTCTGTACGTCGACAACAAGGCAATGCTTGCCTTGTGTCGCGAGCAGAGACTGGAGCACAGAACGAAGCACATTGCTCTGCGCTACTTCCTTGCGCGTGAGCTGCAGCAGCGTGGTCAGCTGCGCCTTGCTTTCGTGGCCTCTCGGGCCAACACTGCTGATGTCTTCACCAAGGCCCTTGGGGCTGGTGATCATCAGCGTTTCTGCACTGCTCTTGGGCTTGTTCCCACTCTGCCTCACCTGCTGGTTGCTTGACTTGCTCTTGTTATACACTGCTATATATATCTTTATACATGCATGTTTACTGCCTTGCTATTATAAATCTGCATGTGAACTGGCCTTGTGGCCGCCTGCTTGTGCTCAGATTGTGTGGTGTCCTTGAGATCCACCCTGGGCTTTGCCTTGCTTATTCTGTTGCTTGACTGGTCTTGTGACCACTGTTAGGTTTGGCTATCCCCTACTTCACCTATGGGGGTGTGTCAAAACATATTGTTATGTTCTTACTCTAGGTTGTGTAGGGTCACACCTTAGAGGGTACAACCCAACTCTCTCGACACTCTTGTACCCCCTCTCCCTCACCTAATCATCATTCCTCACCTAGCTACTAGTGATTCTAACACAAAGTTCTGAAAAGCACACTTTCATGTGATTAAGGAATATGCTAAACGTGTATAGATATTTTCATACATGGTAAGTTTCTCAATTATAATCTGCATACACTTCTGACTTGTTTACAATATTTCGCGAAACACAACCATATCCCCGCACAAGCTGCTAGGCAATCAGAAACGGCCTTTCCCCCCCTCGATTCTGTCACACACAGCCTGGTTCAGACTTTATTCAGAGGAATAAACTAGAAACAGCCAGCAGTCAGTTCTCTACTGTATCTGCTCTTGTCTCAGATCAGAAACACTGGCTTGTCCAGCCAGTGAGGAGGATCATGGAGAATCGGCATCGCAGTTCATAGCTGAGATTTACGCGCAAACCGCTAGGTCTGCGGAAGGACTGCTGAGCGAACCCTGGCTGACGCCAGAAGGCGAGAGATCCAGATTCCAGGCGTAGTAGCGCGGCATGGGGGATCCAGGCGAGCCGTTTTCGCTCGACTTGCACGGGTCGGGCGCGTCCGCGCTGCGCGCCGTCGTGCGCGACAAGCTCGCTGATTTCTCCGAGAGCTTCACCGACGACGTCCTCGCGGTACGCGTTTCCGAGAGCGTTCGTTACGGTTATGTGGCGTTAATTACGGTTCCGTGGCGTTAAGAGGCGGTTTCGTGTTGGTTTTGTGGGGAAACGTCGGATTCCGTAGCACTTTATACGAATTCATGGCAGCCGTAGGTATAGAATAGCAGTAGTTGGTCCATTAATTTAGCCATGCGTCGATACGTCGTACGAGAACTTACTTTCTTGTGAGATTGACGCCGTATTGCCGACGCGGAGCAATCGTAAGCATCCACGTGCCCCTCGATCTACGGTCGTCGTTCGCGAATGTTCGCCTTTCGCGATCCCCACGCCGCCGAATGATCCCCCGCAAATCGGATCCGTCTATAATTCCGTTTCTTTACTCTCCAAAGGGAGTTTAGACAGGATATTCACGGACATTGGCATGAGTGGTTCCTTAATGTTAATCGCCTCTGGTATTCAGTGACCCGTACGGTTTTATGAACAACTGCTGGGCTTAGCTGCTCCTTATTGAACCACACACTACCGAACAAAGACGACTTTTGAGACGTATCCCCTCGCCTCGCCCAGCCTCGTGTCCACAGTCGCCTCGTCTTAGCCGCTCATTGTTGAACCTAGCATTTCTGAGCAGCAGCGAGTGGAAACCAAACATCTTTGTCTGCATCCTCAGAAGAGCCGTCCCCGGATGTTTGTTTGTATTCCGGAGACTAAGGAATAGTAAATATTTTCTTCGTTTTTCAATCCTAAGCTTGACTAAACCCTGCCAGAACTCTGACTTAGCTCCGCCCTTTTTGCCCTAGCCTTCCCCGGCATCATCTCTGGCGCCTGCACCTTGTGTGAATTCACGCGGAAGTACGGTAGGTCCCAGTCCGTTGTCCAGTTCACTGAATCTGGACATTTTTCCCACCTCCCTCGCACGAGTACGTGGTGGTGCTGGTGGCGGACGGCAAGCCCAAGAGCCACGCCGCCGAGGATCTCAATTCTTATTAATTCAAGTTCACTGAATCTGGACGTGTTTCCTACTTCCCTCGCAGGAGTACGTGGTGGTGCTGGTGGCGCACGGCAAGCCCAAGAGCCACGCCGCCGAGGATCTCGAGGCGTTTCTGGGCGACCAAACCGCCGCCTTTGTCGACTGGTGGGTGATATTCTTCGAAGAAATAATGTCATTGCGCTGCGCGGTACAGTAAATCCCTGTTATAGCGTTGTTGTTCTTTGGCCTGTTGTTTTTATAACGTATTCCTCTCCGTTTTCCTCACATTTTCTGTGAGTGTACAACCCTGTGTTCGTTTTGGTGCAGCCTGTTGCTTCACCTCGCTCCTCAAAAGCCCCCCACCCTCGGCCAAACCCCCCCTTCCTCCCTCCTTCCCTCATTAACAGGCTGTGGCTTCACCTGTCTGCCAACATTGGGAAATACAACGCGCCCGCTGCCCCAGATACCGCAGGTGCAGGGAAGGATGGGAGAGAAGCGTTTGCAAAGGAGGAGGAGAAGCGGGCCGAGGGGACGCGAGACGAGGGACGAAGGAGGGAGGTTGTTGAAGTGAGGGAGGATGGCGGCAGGGTGTGGGAGGAGAAGGGGAGGGAGGAGGAGAGGGGACGAGATGGGAGGGCGAGAGAAGAGAGGGGGAGAGAGGAGAGAGGGAGGGAAGAGAGGGGGAGAGAGGAGAGAGGGAGGGAAGAGAGGGGGGGAGAAGTGAGAGGGCGGAGCAGGGAGAGGAGTGGTGAGCGAGGCAGGGAGAGAGGGGGAGAAAGAGGAGTGAGTGGAGAGAGGGAGGGAGGCTGGAGCAAGGAGCGGGAGAAGGAAAGGGACGGAGAGAGGAGGAGCCTGGATGGAAGAACAGACTCATGGAAGGGCAAGAGAGGAAGGGATGGGGTTGTTAGTGGGCGTGAGGAAGTAAGAGGGAGGGGGTATGAGGAAAGAGGGAGAGGGTATGAGGAGAGAGGTAGAGGGTATGAGGAGAGGGGGAGGGGAGACGAGGAGAGAGGGAGGGGTTATGAGGAGAGAGGGAGGGGATATGAGAAGAGAGGGCGGCTTTATATGGACGAGGTACGAGGGGCGGAAGGCGAGGAGGAGGGGGGAGATGAGAGGAGAACGGCGAGGGGGGCGGAGAGGGATGTGTGGGCGCGTCGGGGTGGGTCTAGATCTTGGTCTCCCCCAGGAAAGCGGGAGGAGAAGGAGCAGCGGAGGGAGGAGAGGGGAGAGGAGGGCGCTAGGAGGATGGAGGAGATGAGGGATGGGGGATTGGATAGGGAGGAGGCAAGGGGTGGAGAACTGGGAAGGGCGGTTAAGAGGCGGGTGTCAGGGGAAGGGGGCGGTGAGGAGTGGCAGGGGAGGCATGAAGGGGAGAAGCAGGGGGGGGGAGGGGGGGGCGGGAGAGGGTGCGCGCGGAGAGGCATGGGGAGGAGGAGCGGGCGCGGATGAGGCGGCTGTTTGGCAGCAGCCTGGGCGAAGGGGCGCGGAGGCGGGCCACTGTGGACGGGGGGAGGGCGGATGGGGGAGAGAGAGCGGTGGTGCGGAGACGGACAGAGGGAGAAGTGGGGGCGGAGGGGGCGGAGGGAGCAGCGGGAGCAGGACTGGAGGGTAGCGAGGAGGCTGTGAGGAGGAAAGGGCGTGGGGCGTTTGCTCTGGTGGCCGCGAGTGAGAGGCGGCTGGAGGGCGAGGAGGAGGAGAGGTGGCAGGGCGAGGAGGGGGTGGAAGTAGGGGGGGAGGAGCAAGAGGGAGGGGAAAGTGTGGAGAGAAGGGATGGGAGGGGCTTGGATGGGGCACATAGAGGGGCGGCAAGAGGGCAGGTTGCTGGGAAGAGAGGGCGGCAAGTGGGCGGGGGAGCCAGGGGAATGGGCGGCAGGCTGTGGCAGTTTGCGGTTAGAGATGCTGTGAAGCCTGCGAGGGAGGTGAGGACTCCTGCTCACTACCATGCTGCTGCTGTTGCTGCACCTCCTGCTGCCGCTGTTGCCGCTGCAAGTGGTAATGGTGGGCAGCAGGAGGAGGCGGGAAGGGGAGTGGAAGTGAGGGCGACGAGGGAAGTAAGGCGAATCGTCGTGTCTGCCCCCAGCCGCTCTGCCATTCAAAGTGCTCCTCACCTCGTTGCTCCCCCTGCTGCCTCCGATGGTGCCTCTCCTGGTGCTGTGAAGGGCGCTGCTAGAGCAGCTAGTGAGGAGGAGCGAGTGGCAAGGGCAGAGGAGAGAAGGGAATGGGGGAGAGGAGAGGAGAGAGGAGTGGAGAGAGAAGAGAAGCGGGAAAAGGATAGAGGAGAGGAGAGAGAAGAGGAGGGGGGAGAAGAGGAGGGACTGGAGGAGGAGGAGGGGCGTGGGGCGCGGAAACGGTTGCGATCAGTGGTGGTGTCTCTCCCTGCTGATGCCCCTCGTCGGATCAAGGCAGTGCGGAGGCAGGAGAGGGAGGGGAGGGAGGGGAGGGAGGGGAGGGAGGGGAGGGAGGGGAGGGAGGGGAGTGGGGGAGAGGAGGCAGAGGAAAGGGCGAGAGTGGATTCAAGAGCAGGGGGAGGGGGGAGAGGAGAGGAAGATGCGGAGGGGAACGAGGGGGCGGAGAAGGAGGGTGGTAAAGGGAGTGTGTGGGCGAGGCTGGGCAAACGATGTGTGCAGAGGGGTGGAGATGGGCGGATAGTGGTGCAGAGGCAAGCGGAGCTTGGGGAAGAGTATGGGGAGGAGTTTGGGGGAGGGTATGAGGAAGGGTTTATGGGTGGGTATGCGGGAGGGTATGGGGGAGAGTATGGGGAAGGATACGGGGGAGAGTATATGGAGGGGTTGAGAGGAGTTGAGCAGGGTGTGTGGAGAGAGGGAGTAGAGGGGTGGGGCGATGGGAGAGGAGGGGAGGGAGGGGGGATGCGAGTGAGGTTTGGAGGAGAGGGGGAAGAGGACGAGGAGGACGAGGAGGAAGAGGAGGAGGGGGTTGAGGGCGTGGGTGGGGAGATGCAGGGAGTGAAGGGAGCAGTGAAGAGAGGAGGAGGAGGAGGAAGCAGGGAGCGAGGCGTGAGGAGGATCTTTGTGCGGGAGGATTTGATTCAAAGGGGTGTGCTTGTGAATGGCATGGGGATAGGCATGGGTATGAGTGCGGGGATGGGGATGGGGTTGGCCGGGCAGAATGTAGGTCTGGTGATAGTTCCTGCTCTGCAGAACTCCCAGCTGTTGCAGCAGGCTCAGCAGCAGCAGCAGCAGCAGCAGCTGCAGGTGCAGGTGCAGCAGAATGAGCAGCAGGCACAGCAGCAGCAGCACAGGCCGCAGCTGCAGCAGCGGCAGTGGCTCCGGGTGCCACTGCCGGCTGTCGTCCTGCCCCAGCAGCAGCAGGACGACACAGAGGGGCAGCAGGCGCTAGAGAATCAAAAGCAGCTGCAGCAGGGTACAAATCGGTCAGTGGTTGCTCCACAGGGGGCAGGTGGATTGGGGAGGGGGCAGGAGGAGGGGGGAGTGCGGCGCTCTTGGCCTGCAGCTAGCATGGGGGCCGGGCAGGGGAGGGGGGGACAAGGCAGCATGGGGCGGGGGAGGGGAAGTATGACTTGGGTGGCGAAGAGGGAAGAGAAGGAGAAGGAGGTGAAGGGTGAGGAGAAGGAGAAGGAGAGTAAAGTCAGCCCAGTGGCTCAGAAGCAGGTGCGTATCCTGAGCAGCTTGTGGCTCATGCAAGCTGTGACTGACGACGATCCTTGAGTCAGGTTGAACATAAGAACCCTTATCGCGCATTTCAACAACTTCTCGACCCGCACGCGTTCTACTGTGTGGCAGGAGGAGCGTGGAGGCGATGAGGCAGGGCCTGCAGCAGGTGCAGGTGGAGATGACTGTCTAGCTCTAAAGACTCCCCCCCCTTCCTCCCCCCCGCCCCTGACCCACCCACACCCATTCTCATGTGTGGCAGGAGAGTGTGGAGGCCATGCGGCAGAGGCTGCAAAAAATGCAGGAGGAGATGAGAAGGATGAAGGCGCTGCAGGAGAAGGCTGTTGCTGCTAAAGCTAGTTCAGCAACGAGTAATGCTGATGCTCCACCAACAGGTACATGATTTGCCCATGCTGCCTCCGCTGTGGTTGCTTCGCTCGTCCCGCAAATTCCCGTTTTCTCTGTTACCACATGATTCCATAGCCCTGCTTGTCTGTATCCCGCCCGCATTCTCATTCCACTCTCCTCCCTACTTTCCCACTATCCCTCCCTCCAGATTCCTTTTTTTCTCTGTCACCCCACACCCTTAACATATGTCTATTATCTCACATGTATCCTTCTTCCTCCTCTTCCTTTCCTCCCAACCCTCCCCCTTTCCTCTCCTCCCCCTTCCCTTCTCTCCCCCATTCGTTCTGTGTATTATCCACAGAAGCAGCTCACCCCAACGGCACGTTGTCAACCTCACCGCACGCCACCGCACTGCACGCCCACGCACCCACGCCTTTCTCCCTCGTGCGCAAGTCTCCCTCCACAGGGGACACTGACGATCGCTCTGTGCTCGTTTCAAATGTGAGCCCCCTTCCCTTGCTCCGGTGCACCGCAGTCCACCACACTGCACTCCGAAGTACCACACTCCACCGCACTACACCACACCCATCCACCCACCAAGACTCTCTCCTCGGGGGACGCTGACGATCGCTCTGTGCTCGTCTCTAACGTGAGCCCCCTTCTCCTCCTCTGCAACGCACTCCACCACACTGCACTCCGAAGCTCCACACTCCACCGCACTCAATCGCACCCACCCACCACCAAGGCTCCTTCCTCAGGGGTTGCCGACGATCGCTCCGTGCGCGTTTCAAATGTGAGCTCCCCTCTCTACTCTGCCATGCTATCCCACTCCGTGCTCTTTAACTCCCTCTCGACCGATAAACTGCTCTAAGAGCTTCTTATTCCTCTCTGCTGTGCTATCCCACTCAATTGCACGTTTTAAGCCGTACGAAATGTCAACCTGAAACAGCCTGGATGACGGGTGTCTTCAAGAAGAAGTGTTGCTGTTGAGGGAAGCACAGCGGCATTGTTGGCCCCAGCATTCCCTTCCCTCATCACACACCCCTTTTCCCGTCTGCCCTCTGCCCTCTGCCATTTTTAGGCACCTCAAAATTAGACCCCAGCGTTTTCTTTCCTCATCACAGACTCCTTTTCTGGACTGGCCTCTACGCTCCACCCTCTGCTCTCCACCATTCCCATTCCTCCCTGCAGGTGCATTTTGCAGCAACGGTGGCGGCACTCACGCTCCACTCCCGTCCATCCTCACCCATGCACCGTCACCCCTGCCCCTCTGCCCTCACCCCTCCGCCCTGCCATTCCTCCCTGCAGGTGCATTTCGCAGCAACGGTGGCGGCACTCACGCTCCACTTTGCAGCGTGTGGGGAGATTCGTCGAGTCACCATGCTCACTCACCCTCTCACCGGCCGCCCAAAAGGGTAATCATTGCTGCCTGGTGCTTTTTTGTCGCATAAATTCCCCTCTCATTGCTGCTTTCTTTCTTGAGGCGCCTCAAATGTCGTCGTGATTCCCACCTGCTACGTCCTTACCATTTTCCTGCACTTCCTTCTCACCTCGTGCTTGCTCTTAAACCCTTTCATACACTTAGTGCACTTTGTGCTATCGTATCGCACGCTTTAATAGCTACTTGTTTAACACTTAACACTGTTATGGTCAACATCAATCAACCTGCTTTGGATTCAGTAGGGTTTACACAAATTACACAAATTTACACAATTATGACATGCCTCTTCCCCACTCCTCTCCATCTGCCTGCAGATGTGCTTATATCGAGTTTGCCACTAAGGAAGCGGTTGACAAGGCCCTTGCACTCAACGACGCTTCATTTATGTCACGCCCGCTCAAGGTACACCCACCTTTTGCCCCCCTATTCCATCATCTCTTCTGTTTTCCATTCTCTGCTCTCTCTGCGTCCTCGTCACCTCGCCCCTCCACATATCTACGCAGATTCTCCTCAAGGCTTGCGTGGCCGTGTGGTCATTTTTTCAGTCACTGAGGTAAATCCCTCTCTGTGTGTACGATACGAGGCATTGCCCTCTGCCACTGTACCAGCCATGAGTACCATCAGGATGCCTCACATCTCCATCCTCCCTTCCTCCTCCGTCTCTGCGTCCCCACCTCTTACCCGCACACCATCCATAAGCCCACCCACACCACACGTGGCAGTGGAGGCACTTCCTCTGCAGCAGCACCCACACCAGCACCCAACACTCCCGCTCCCCGTCCCAGTCCTGGTTCTCACATCCCCTTCTTAAGTCGATTTTAAAAAGGACACTCCCACTCCCAGTCCTCACATCCCCTTCCTCATTTCTCACCCACGCCATCTCCCCATCTCCGCCCCTTACCCGCAGATATTCCACAACAACCCTACGCAGCGGTGGAGGCACTCCCCTCCGCAGCAGCACACCCACACCTCCACCCATCACTCCCACTCTCTAACCCAGTACTCACACCCTCTTCCTCCCTTCTCCCGCCATTCTCCCCCCACCCCCTCCCCCTCACCCGCAGATAATCCACAAGCCACACGCGGCAGTGGAGGCACTCCCCTCTGCAGCAGCGCCCACACCACCCATCAGTACTCCCACCCACCCCGCTCGCCCGCTCCTCACGCCCACCAAGCTCCCCTCCCCTGCTCCGGGCACCACCCCCACCAAGCTCCCCACCCCTGCTCCGGTCACCAGCTTCACAGCCCTCGCCTCCCCCTCTGCACGTTTCGTGCCTGTTAAGGCCCCAGGTGTGGGTGTGAAAGCACAAGCTGCCCGCCGGCCCTCTGCCAGAGGTAGCATGCAGTGGCGGAGACAACCTGAGGCCGCTGCTGCTGCTGCTGCTGCTGCTGCTGCTGCTGCTTCTGCTCCTGCTGCTGCTGCTGCTGCTGCTGCTGCTGCTGCTGCTGCTGCTGCTGCTGCTGCTGCTGCTGCTGCTGCTCCTGAAACTGTGCCTGATGCTGCACCAAAAGCAGCACCTAGCTCTGCACCTGCGGCGGCAGCAGCAGCAGCTGCTGCTAAAGCTGGCAAGATCAAGGGGTGATTGCGGAGTCAAGTGCAGTTATGGTAACAGGAATTCTTTGCTGTGTGGAACACTGGTAGGGACAGCTACAGGACGTGTGACATGCTTTTTCTTTTTTTTGTGCTTGTGCGAGCTGTGTGGATCAGCTCTCATTTCTGTTCGTGGTTTAATGGTTCTTCATTTATTTCATCAATACAGAGGAATGCAGTACCAGGTTATGAGATGAAACCAAATAACAATTACCTAGATTTTCTGGAGCATATTCTTTTGTACATGAATTTCCTTTTTTCTCCTTGGCACACTCGTATATTCCCAATGATTACGCGTCAACGAGGCACCTTGTCGGGAGTACGGCATCAGTGCGCTTCGCCAGCGCCGGCAGACCAAATGCGGCGACCTCGGCCATGTGCAACCCAGCCCCATCGTCCTGTTAGCTACCGCGATGACTTTTACCCACTTAAAATCAGAGTGCAAAGCCTTTCGCTAATGTTGAGGAAACATGGAAAGGACGGTCTTGCATTTCAAATATGAAATGAGAAACTACCCATTCACCCTTCACACCCAGTGCAGTGCAGAGCGTTTTGCTGGTGGGAAGGAGCATGTGTTCGTATTACATTGTTAATCAGGTTTCAGCCTTATCGCCGAAATAAAATATCCATTCATTTACCCTTGAAGAAACCTGTGAAAATGAGGGGAAACGTTGGCAGTAAGATTGCTCAACCTCATCATTGAACATCTCTTCCGTTTGCGTTTTTGTGCTCCTGCATCTGCAACGACCATACTGGTGTCCATCCTCCATTCATGTTCTCTTATACATACCTGATATTTCGTCTAAAGCAGAAACGGTATCACATCACGATTCACAAGCCCGGTTTGTGAAAAGCTGGTTTCTCACCATCACCGCAAACATCACACTGTGCGCATTTGACGAAGCCATCCATTAGCATGAGGAGAGCATCTCATCGTAGTCAAGCTAAGACATGTCGCTGTTTCAAGTTTACACGGCCTACCTTTTTGAAAACGTGCCTCCTTAGCAATGACGGTTCAGGCCCGAACATGGGGAAAAGGCGAGTCGCATTGGTTCAGACTCGTCGAAGCCCCCCAGCTCAAGAAGTGAAAGGTCCGCTTCAAGTGACGCATTTCGAGAATCTGAACTGCCGCAGTCGAGGTGACTCTAAGCCTACTATACCACGCCTAACTGTGTAGATCACGAGCCGCTCATACTTAGGTAGTATGAACGAGGCTATCACCCCGTCGCCTCTGAGACTTTCACGGCTCTGACAAATGAAATGGCACGGGTTGGGTGAAATTCAGATAAGACCACTGATTTTGACACCACAAAACAATCGATCGTCAGGCAAGTAGACTCTTGTCAAATGACAGTGTCATGACGGAACACACAGACAATTGCGGGACGCGCTTCCGATCCCTTAGCACTACTGAGGAACCTGCATCAGATCTCTCCAATCGCGAAAGGTGAAGTATAACTCTGAAAAAACAGGACGAGCTCGCCACTCTGGAGACCCCTTGCAACTGAATTTGCTTGTTGTTTGATCATCGACATGACCAGCGTGACAGGAATTTGCTCACACCCCACTCCGTCCCTTGCTCACACTGGCTTCATGCATCAGCAATGCAACAGAACGTGGGAGGTTAGAGGTACAATGCTCGTTGGCGGGAAAACGACCAAATTGTGGAACTTGGTTCCGTGAAAGTTGGAAACGAGCGTCGCATTCCCCACGATCACGGAGACAGGTACAACTCTCTTGGACATGATTCAAGGCCAGGGGAGACAACTGTTTATCCAGCGCAGCAAAAAAGATCTCGAGTCCCGACGCGTGCTGAGGAACTGTTGCGATCTGATGGGTAGGGAGGTGGACGGAAAAGGGCAAACGGGAAGGTGGGTGGGAGGGAGGTACCAAAAGCTTGTGATCAAAGGCGAAAAACGCATCGAACCGATATAGACCGATCTGAAACTACAGGTAGCAGGCTGTGCTTGATGGACATCAGGTGATGGCGTCATCCACGCAAATTGGTTGCCACGGTGAGACCCAGAGAAGGAACAAACCAAACGACATCCAAACCTGAGCGGAGCGAAGCGGAACGCAGATGTGGTGAATCGGGGTGTTTTCTCCGCCTATACGCTTTTGGCGCAAGCCTGCCTGAATGGTTCACCTCCCAGTTTGCTGTGGGGGCCACCTGGTTTCCCCCCCAACTTGGTTGTGTGGGGGCCACGCACACATTTTCCCCCGCTTTTGCTTGATGCGGATTGGAAGGGTTGGCGCATCGCATCACAGGTCGCCCAGATTCCCACCGTGGCAGGCCGCACCAATCACCGAGCATCATCTCCAGCAAGCTTGGCCATCACGTTTCGCTGACGGGGTTCTGGTGGTTGGCTATGGAGATGGGGAAAATGCCTCGGCACAGGTGGCAATCTTGACGAGAATTACGGGACAGCGCAGCAAGATTATGCGAACCACTTTCTGCACATCGACGGCTGTGAAGACACCATACAGGTACTGTGCTGGACAAGACTTCGCCATGCGCTGTCGCACAGCCCACGCGAAAAACACCAACATCACGGCGCCGATCGCCAGATGCTCTCCACGTACACAAGTAGCACCAATCAACGCAGCGTTCGCTCAGAAGGTATCAGCCACATGGGCTTTCCCCGCCCTGGCTGACGCAGCAGGCATGCCTTTAATGCTGGAACAGTGGCTCACGTGGCGGAACAGCTGTGCGGAAGCTCCAGGTCGCGCCTTGGGATTGGGGGGAGGAAGCGGAATTAGGTGAAGGAAATGTCTGGCGCAGCCAAGCGGAAATGCGTAGCCTGCTTGATCGGCCCTACTGCTTTAGGAGAATTTGCGAGTACAAAGCACACTAAAAAAACTGACTATATTCATTGACACTCCCAAACGTCTTCCATTTCTCAGCAATCCTAGAGATACCAGTTAAGATCTAAGCTTTCTCCAAATAGATCCTTGCACCCCTAAATACGCAACGCCATGGCTGCCGAAGCTCCCAAGAACGATAAAGTGGTACGCTTGCGCTCAGATTCGCTCTCTATGCAAGCACATGCAATGTAGCCGATCTGGTAGAGCGTTGCCCTTGTCGCTGCCCGGTACGACAATTGCCTTACGCGTTTGGTCGTCTTTTCCAGGTGTTCGATCCAGCGTCTCAGTCACGGAAGACCACGCGTGCTGGAGAGCACATTCAGAAGGTGAAGGACGTTCCCGACTTCGCTCCTCCGGACATCTATGTCGCCAAGCTCGAGCCCAAGGAGGTTCTCCACAACCTCTCCGTCGCTGGTAAGCATTAGCTTCCAGCAATAAGCTCTAGCGCTGCACATCCTCGGGTTTAACGACAGAATTTGTCAGCTTTCTGAGCTAGATTAGTTCATGGCTTGTTAACTGACCTCTCTTTCATTTCTCCGGCGGCGTTGCGATGCAGAGCTGTACGAGCAAGCCATCGCCCATGAGGAGGGCAACTTCATCGTCTCCACCGGCGCGCTGTGCGCCATCTCCGGCCAGAAGACCGGTCGCTCCCCCAAGGACAAGCGCGTCGTCAAGGAGAGGGACCACGCTGACGACATCTGGTGGGGCGAGTAAGTACCGCAATTCCGCTCTAATCCACGCATTTCCACGCAATTCCACTCACCTCTTCTACTCTCTCGCAGCGTTCTGCATCCAGTCCAGCTTCAATTCTGCTATCGAGATATCAAATTCTCGTCTCATTTTTTCCCTGACCGTTTCAGAGGCTCACCCAACTACGAGATGGACGAGTACACGTTCATGGTGAACCGCGAGCGCGCCATCGACTACCTGAACACGATCGGCAAGGTGTACGTGCAGGACATGTTCCTCAGCTGGGACCCCAAGCTGCGCATCAAGGTCCGCATCGTGTGCGCGCGTGCCTACCACGCGCTCTTCATGCACAACATGTGAGTACCCTCACCCTCCCATCTGAGTACCCTCAAAGTACCCCGATCCTCGCAAACTCGTACTCTCTCGATCTCGTCCATTCTTGTTTGTGCACGATGCTCGATTGTCCTTTGAGGTCCCGCATGGTTCTCATCAATTTCTACCCTCGCTCTGGTGCCGGCGTGATTCTCTTTCTCTCGCTCCTCTCTCTCTCCAGGTGCATCCGTCCCACGGAGGAGGAGCTCAAGGACTTCGGCGAGCCGGCCTTCACCATCTACAACGCGGGCCACTTCCCCGTGAACCGCCTCTCCAAGTACATGTCGTCGGGCACCTCCGTGGACATCGATCTGAACCGCAACGAGATGGTCATCCTCGGTACCGAGTACGCGGGCGAGATGAAGAAGGGGCTCTTCTCCCTCATGAACTACCTCATGCCCAAGCAGGGCGTGCTGTCGCTCCACTCCGGTGCTAACATGTCCAAGGACGGCCAGGTCTCGCTCTTCTTCGGTCTGTCCGGTACCGGCAAGACGACCCTTTCTACCGATCCCAACCGTTACCTGATCGGTGATGACGAGCACACGTGGGGTGATGACGGTGTCGCGAACATCGAGGGCGGGTGCTACGCCAAGTGCATCAACCTGAGCAAGGAGAACGAGCCGGATATCTACAACGCGATCCGGTTCGGATCAGTTGTAGAGAACGTTGTCTTCGACCCGCACACGCGCGTCGTCGATTACGACGACGGCAGCATCACGGAGAACACGCGCGTGTCGTACCCCATCGAGTACATCGCCAACGCTAAGATCCCGTGCGTCGCAGGCCATGCGACGAACGTGATTCTCCTCACGTGCGACGCGTTCGGCGTGCTGCCGCCCGTCAGCCGGCTGACGCTCGAGCAGACCATGTACCACTTCATCTCCGGATACACCGCCAAGGTGAGCACCGGGGGGAGGCATTGGCGCGTGCCATTGGCGGGATGGGTGGGATCATGGGGGGTGTGGGGGATGGGTTACTCGGTTTGCGGGGGTTTTGATTCTCAACCATTACGCAAATCAACCGTGCTTGATAAACCCTTCGTTACTTGCAAATCACCTTCACATCTTCGTCCTTCGCATACAATCAACAATACAACCTTCTGTTCTTTCCTCCCTCTCAGGTGGCCGGCACTGAGATGGGCGTGACCGAGCCCGAGGCCACCTTCTCGGCGTGCTTCGGCGCGGCCTTCATGATGTGGCACCCGTACAAGTACGCCACACTGCTGGCGGAGCGCATCAAGAAGCACGGCAGCACGGCGTGGCTCGTCAACACCGGCTGGACCGGCGGCGCATACGGCGTGGGGCACCGCATGAGCATCAAGCACACGCGCGCCATCATCGATGCTATCCATGACGGCTCGCTCGCCAAGGCTGAGACGGTCACCACGCCCGTGTTCAACCTGCTCGTGCCCACCACCTGCGCCAATGTCCCCAACGAGTGCCTGCAGCCAGAGACCCTGGTACGTCTCGCTTTCTGCTCATGAAACACCCTCTCTTGATCTGCTCCCGTCTGTCTCCTTTCCCGTCCATCATCCCTTTGCTGGGTGAACTTGACCCCCAACCCCCAGTTCTCTACCACCGTGTGTCAATTCATCTCTGCTCCTCTCTGCTGCTTTCTATCGTTCTTTGCCTCTCTGCGTGCAGTGGGCGGACAAGGCCAAGTACCGCGAGACGTTGGAGAAGCTGGGCAAGTTGTTCCAAAAGAACTTCGGCAAATTCACCGAGTTCGAGATGGGCGGCACCTCACAGCGCATTCCCGATGCGGTTCTCGCTGCAGGACCCGTTCTGTGAAGGGGTTCTGATGTTTATTGCGCGGTTCAGAACGTTATAGGGCTTTCCTGCAGCAGTACCCTGGATTGGGTAATGCGTGGGCTAGTGAGGGGAAGTTGGATGGGTGTGCTGGGATCCAAAATTTTGAATAATGGTACAAATGGAATTTAGCAAAATAATTCAGGTTCAGGTTTCAAAGGTTTAAAACCGAAATGCAAAATAGTGAACCCAACGCCAACTTGAAAGAGGGCTTGCCGTGCGAAACAATTTTGGAACCAAACCGACAAGTTTCCAGTGTTTCATTGAGAGCGTTTTTTGCAGATCGAACACATAAGGAACACAGCACGTCAGGCGTCGCATATCAGTTTTGGAAGCTGCACAACACTAGCATTGCCATCGCTCATGCACGCCCTTAGCGATTTTGGGCCCAGCTTGGGGTTCAAGTTGGGTCTGGGTGAACAACTACTAGTTCTTCCGATCATACATCTCAACTTCTTAGTTATGTGTAGCATGTCTAGCCATCGAACCGTCAACTTATGCCGTTGTTGTTTCAATTTAGACGCGTAGTAAAGCTGGCATGGTTGTGTAGTACTTTGTGCCGTTTCGAATGCCCTCTCGCCGCCTTCCTATCTCATCTCGCTCGCCCTCCCGTTCCGATCGACCGTCCTGACGCCGTCCCATCGACCATCCTGACGCCGTCCCATCGACCGTCGCGTCGCGATCATGTCGTCCGTCCCGTCGACGTCCCGTCGCCCTCCTACCGTCATCTCCATTACCCCTCTCCTCCAATCACCCTCGCGATTTTCCTGTCGCAAATCTCTCTCTCGCCGCTCCCTTTCCTGAACCAATCGCCTTCTCCTCTCCCTTCTCGTCGCTCTCTCTCTCGCTGCTCCCTTTCCGTTGCAATCGCCTTCTCCCATCCCTTCCCGTCGCTCTATCTCTCTCCCCTCCCTTCCCGTCGCTCTATCTCTCTCCCCTCCCATCCCATCGCTCTATCTCTCTCCCCTCCCTTCCCGTCGCTCTATCTCTCTCCCCTCTCTTCCCGTCGCTCTATCTCTCTCCCCTCCCTTTCCGTCGCTCTATCTCTCTCCCCTCCCTTTCCGTCGCTCTATCTCTCTCCCCTCCCATCCCGTCGCTCTATCTCTCTCCCCTCCCTTACCGTCGCTCTATCTCTCTCCCCTCCCTTGCCGTCGCTCTTGCTCTCTCCCCTCCCTTCTCGTAGCCTTAGATGCAGCCGTCGCAAATTCCTCTCCCACCCACCATCACCCACCCCATCGCCTTCTCGTCCCCCGCCCACTTTCTCCTCCCATCGCCTGCCTGGTCGCCTTCGCGCTCGCACTCAAACGCTCTCCCCGCGCCCTTCCTCTCTCCCTTCCCATCACCGACCTCGTCGCCCTCGTGCTCGTCCCGAAATGCCTTCCCATCGCCTTTCGTCTCTTCTCCCCAATCATTAATCTCTGAAACGCTCTCCATCGTCGGCCAATCCGCCCTTCGCTCTTGCTATGCAATGCCCTCTCCGCGCCCTTCCTCCCTCCCCTCACAATCTGTCTTCCCTCCCCGCATCCCGTCGTTCCTCTCTACCCTCCCATCCCGTCGTTCCTCTGCTCTACCCTCCCATCCCGTCTTTCTTCCTCTCTCCCCTCCCATCCCGTCGTTCCTCCTCTCTTCCTTCCTATCCCGTCGTTTTTCCCTTCTCCCCTCCCATCCCGTCGTTACCCCTCTCTCCCCTCCTCTCCCGTCAGCCCCCTTGTCCCCAGTCCCTTCTCTTCGCCGTCGACCAATCAACCGTCCCGTCGCCCTTTCTCTTTTCGTACATCATCAATTTCTTTATTTATATCTTCTTCGCCTGATTTCACCTGTGTGTGCCATGGATTTTGCTTGATCATGCCAGTGTTCGCGCAGGATTTTGCTAGTTTTTGCCTGTGCGCGCTGGATTTTGCCTGTGTGTGCGCTGTTTTTTGCTGTGTGTGCTCGTGGCGTGCATGAAAACCAGCTGATTAAAGGCATCTCTTTATTAGCTAAGGCGATTAAAACCTATTGAATTGCTACCATGTTTCCAATATAGACACGCATGTTCATATCTTCAATTCTCCAACTAGAGCTTATTTTGAATAACTTCATGCCAAAAGACAATGTCATAATTAGGCAGTACGAAAAGTTAGAAACAGAAAAGGGAGGTTTCACTAGCAGCAGTTGGGATACATATAGCAAACCCTAACTGGGTTGTACCCGCTATAGAGCACCCCACTACAGGCTAGATAATAACATTCTGACACACCCCCATAGCCAAAGTGGGGTGTAATCAGCACAATGAGCAGGCATAGTAGGAGTTCACAATAATAAGCAAAGCTAGAGGTAATCACAGCGGGCAAGTGAGGAGGAGGAGGAACTGTGGAAGGAGAGAAGATGGGAGGCAACGACTGAAGCTGCAGAGGCACGGGCACAGGAGCGGCTGACTCAGTGGCTACCGAAGCAAGGGCGACGGACTACTGGAGTGACTGTTTCCGCGGCTAAGACGAGCGGCAGGAGCAACGGATCCACTGGCGACTGGTGCAACAGGCTCACTGGCTACCGAAGCAAGGGCGACGGACTACAGGCGCTGCAGGCGACACGACAGCTACCTCCACACAACCTCCTCCAACTGACCCACACCCTTGACACACATCCCCTGCTGAACCCCTAACTCCACTCCCATGTCACCCCCCTAGCGCCATTCCCCTCGGCTCCCACACCTCCACCCCCCTCAGCAGCAGCTGCAGCAGTGGGAGACGAACAAGGAGGTGGGGAGAGGGAAGGGGAGTACCCACACCGCGCACCCCCATGCTCGCCACCCCACACCCCCTACCACCGCGGAACGCACGGCGGCACGGGAGGAATGGGCAGCACGGGGGGGGGGGGGGGGGCGCGCGCGGCTCCCCAGGGCGCCGCGACGGACGGGCGGGGGGCGCGCGCGGCTCCCCAGGGCGCCGCGACAAGAAGGGCGGGGGCCGCGCGTGCTCCCCAGGGCGCCGCGACGAGCAGGGCGGGGGCCGCGCGCGGGTCCCCAAGGCCGCGCGACGCGGGCCGCGCGCGGCCTGCAGGCCCGCGCACGGCCTGCAGGGCGACGCGACGGGAAGGGCGGGGGGCTGCGCGCGGGTCCCCCACGGCAGGAAACCGCCGCGCGCCTCGGGGCGCACGGCGGGCAGAAAACCGCCGCGCGCCCCGAGCGCACGGCAGGAAGAAGGCGTCGCACGCCACGGGGCGTGCAACAGACAGAGTAGCAGCGGAAGCAGTTAGGTGGTGGGCCCACCCACAGGATCGACCCAAGGGGGTCGACCTGCTCTGAAACCATGTCATAATTAGGCAGTACGAAAAGTTAGAAACAGAAAAGGGAGGTTTCACTAGCAGCAATTGGGATACATATAGCAAACCCTAACTGGGTTGTACCCGCTATAGAGCACCCCACTACAGGCTAGATAATAACATTCTGACAGACAATACTCAATATACTTCACAAGTCAAGTATCTTAAACAAAAAATATATATACACACACAAAACAGCAGTGCTTTGAGGATTTTGTTACCGCAGTACACTGGTTGAAGTATCTTATTATCGGTTTCAGCTCATAATCCGAATAGCTTGATGCACTACCGCAGTTGGTAGGTTGCTGTTAGAGCGTATGGAGACATATCAAACTCGCCATAACCAGACTTGGTAACTGCGTAATGTGACGGTGCACAACAAATTCTGGTGCGAAGATGGCCACTCGCTCATTGAGAGAATGACTCCAGTGGCCAATAAGGTGATTCACCATCCCTCGCGTGGCCACGAATGACTCGAGTGGCCACCAAATTTGGTGATAATGACTCGAGTGGCCACGCCAGGCGATTCTACCTGGCTTTTTTTTCTTCGGCGCATTACCCTACGGGGCTTTGTAGCCCCGAAATTCCCCATTCGTGCGAGGGTTATCCTTAGGTAGTGTTCCGTTCTGTTTTGCACCCGCAAATTTCGCCAGGCTCACGGACGCGAAAGTGGCCCGCTCACTGTACATTGACCAACAGTATATTGACCGGTCAGTTTCGGCCAAATGCGCGGCCAATGAGCGCGCGATAAATCTGATTAACATCCAATCAGCGATCGAGCATATGACTTCGCAATCATATACTGCCTTTGACCCCGAAACGAACCGATCCAGCAAAATCAACCGCGCTCGATTGGTCAGGTGATATGCGCGTCCAATCACGTGTCATCGTATAATTCCCGATCATATACTGAAATGATCGGCCGTCGGTGCGCGAGAAATTGGATGACCGCGCGTGATTGGTTGATCTTGTTCGCAGGATATGGCCTGACATTGCGCGTCCAATCAAAGAACGTCCAAACAAAGTCGCAGTCATATATCATATAAGACCGCGCAATAACCTTTATGTCCGCGCATATTTGGTAATGCTTAGGGAGCTTATAAAACCTACACAAAACATCCATAAAAAAATTATCACTGAGTATATTTGGTACGTCGTAGCTACTGTCCTGAGTTTTGTTTTGCCGTTAATCTATATAACACTGTGAACACCTTTCATGTGGCATGCAGAGGCGGAGGGTTGCTATGCATATGTATCTATTGGCATCTCATGTCAGGATCTACGCATGTATACCATTGTTTAAGTAGAACGTTTTTATATTTACGGATCACGCAATTTCAGTATCACCAAATGGCCTTAATACGAGGCCAGAGTGTTTTTAGTATATGATTGGCGGGATCATATAGGAAATTGTGTATAAATGAACGCGAGGGATGGTGAATCACCATGTTGGCCACTGGAGTCATTCTCTCTCGCTCATTGGATAGTAGGCACGCGCCGCAGCTCATCCCTTGAAGCTCCCCCAAGCTCTGTCCGCTCGCGCTACTCGCGGCACCTCGCAGTGTCTCGCCACCACAGAGTTCACCGATGGAGTCTTATTGAGTCGTCGCAAGCAGGCCCACCGTTTCGCGAATCAAAGCGCGCCGATGGACACATTCCGCGGCGCCGTGGACGCCGTCGCGGCGATCTTGCGCCGCGTGCTGTTGCGCGATCCGAGCAACCGGCGCGAGGCGTGCACGTGGCTCGCGGCGCTAATCGGTCGCGTGCAGCTCCCGCCCGCGCTGCGCCGCGCGCTTGTCTGCCAGCTCGTGGCGCGCAGCGGATCGCTCGACCCTGGTAAGGCCGGGCGGAAAAGTGCGCCTCTACCCCGGGACACCCCCATGCCTCTGACAGCTCTCTTAATCCGCTCATGCCTCTCCTTCCCCACTTTACGCCCCCACACCCCCACACCTCTCCCATGCCCCTCCCCTTCCCCCTCCCTCCCCAAACCCCCCCAAGTCGTCCCCAGGCGCCTCTGACCGCTCGCTGCTGCGCCATCTGCTGTGTGAGGAAAGGCCGAACGATCTCCTCCCCTCCCCCCGCTGCTCCCAACCCCAAACCCCTCCAAGTCTTTCTCAGGCGCCTCTGACTGCTCGCTGCTGCGTCAGCTGCTGCAACTGCTGTGTGAGGAAGGGCCGAAAGATGCCGCCCGGCTGCTGATGCATGACCCTGACCTCATCCGCTCGTTCTTTGCTGGTGAGTCAACGCGAGTCAACGTGAGTCAAAGCGAGTCAATCCAGTCAGGGTGTGACAATGCGAGTCAAAGCAAGTCAACTCTGGTAGAAGTGAGCCAATCCTCTCCTCTCATTATTCTATTACCTTCTCCTCACCCCTCTCCTGCTCCCATGCCTCACTTTCTCTCCACCAACCCAACCCCCATCCCCCCCCCTACAGCCAATCCTCACCGCATTCTCTTGTGGTTCGACCATTTCAGTATGGGGCCTGGCAGTCAAGGGGGCAGATGGGGGGAAGAGGGGGAGAGGAGCAGGGAACAGCAGAGACCAAGCGCCTATGCTGCTACTGCCTATGCTGGTTCTGGTTCTGGTTCGGCCCACACCAAGTTGGCAGGGTCGGCAGCAGCTGGTGAAGCTCTGCAGCGGAACAGTCCAGGTTCGGGCCGGCTTGTCTTGCCGACCCGCGCTCTGGTTCGGAACCACAGGTTCGGCGCGCAAGCCTTGGCCGAGTTTGCGTTTGCACATCGGGAGGAGCATTGGCACCGGTTGGTATGGGCAGGGAAGCATGCACAAACACCAGTTAATGTGGCTGCCCGGCCGCATTACTTCTGCGAGTTGGACATCTCGCGCACCATGAAAAACTTTTTGCGGGAGGTGCCTGAGTTCTGGTCGTCTCACGAGCTTCGGAAAACGTTACGCGATGGCGCGTTCTTGTCACTGGATATTGGATTTTTTGTAGAGGAGTTGATGAGGCGGCTTATAAGGGAGATGGAAGATGAGAGGAGGAGAAGAGAGTGGGAGGAAGGAGTAGAGGAAGTTTTACACACAGTGAAGAGGGATAGAATGGAGAGAATGGAGAGGAGGGAGCGTGAGGGGAGGGACGTGGGGGAAAGGGAGGGGTGGAGAAGGGAGGAGGGAGTACAAACGAAAATGCAAATGCGAATCCCAGAGGAAAGGAGAGGGAGACAAGGAAGAGAGCTGGTATATGAATTGGTGTATGAGTTGGTAGAAGACTTTGTTGACTCGGTTGACTGGGCTGTGCTGTGCTCTCGGGTGCTGGCTGGTGCAGGGGAAGTGGGGCTGGAGGGTGTTGGTCGGGGGGTGTGGCGATGGGCGCAGGGGAGGAGATGGGAGGAAGGAAGAGGGGCGGACAGGAGGGGGGATGGGAGGAAGAGAGAGGACGAGAGGGAGAGGGGGGATGAAAGGGAGAGGGAAAGGGACAGGGGAGGGAGAATGGGGAGGAAGAGGGAGAGTAAGATGGGAGAGAGGATGGAGCAGGTAGAGACGCAAGGGGGGCTGTTAGAGGAGGTGCTTGTTGGGGTGTGCTGGGATGGAGGCGAGGAGAGGAGCAGAGGGGAGAGAGGGGAGAGAAGAGAGGAGAGCAAGAGAGAGAAGGAGAGGAGGGAGAGGAGAGTGAAGGACGAGGAGAGGAGTAGCAGAGGGGGAAGAGACGTGAAGGCAGACTATCTCACGTCACTCCCCTCTCTATTGTCGCTCTCTTCATTCGAGCGCCTGCTCCTCCTCGTGGCCTGTGCGTGCCACGGCAGGCAGACTGCACTGCTGCTGCTCCGGGAGCCTGAGTGGGCGGACGAGCGGGAGGAGTTGACTGCGGTGCTGCGCGGTTGCTTTGCCACCTCTGTGGAGGAGCCACCTGGCAAGCAGCTATTGGATTATGTTCTGGAAAGTGGTGGGGGGGAAAGAGAGGGGAAGGAGAGAGAGGGAAGTCAGATGGGCGAGGAAAGGGAGAGAGACAGGGAGAGGGAGAGGGAGAAGGAGAGGGGGAGGGGGAGGGAGTGGGAAAGAGGGGAGGAGAGCATGGCAGGGATTGAGGTGGTGGTTGGCACGTGGATGGTTAGAGCGCATCTTATGGCGAGTATGGGGCTAGATGGAGGGCACACGGGGATGGATGATGGTAATACAGCAGGGATGGGATGTATGGCGGGGGCCGACGAGGCTGTGGGGGTGATGTTGAGGCGCTTAGGTGTTGCTGTGGAGAGGGGAGGAGGTGAGGGGGGGATGGGTGGGGTGGGCGGGGAGGGTGGGGTTGAGAGGGTGGGCGATGGGGAAGGCGGTGAGAAGAGAGGGAGGAAGAGGGAGAGGAAGAAGGAGAAGAAGGGTAGGCGTGGCAAGGTGAGACGCGGAGGGGGTAGGGTGAGTGGCAAGAGGAGGAAGAGGGGGAGCAAGAGGCGGGAGAGAAGAGAGAGGAAGAAGAGGAAGAGGAGGCGGAGGAATGAGAGTAGCAGTGATGATACCTCCTCCTCCTCCTCCTCCTCCCCTGTTTCTAGCGATGGAACGGATATGACTGATAGTGAAGCATCTTCTGACGAGGACAGAAACTCAGATGAGGGTGAGAGGGAGAGGGAGTGGGAGAGCGAGAGCGATAGAGCGAGGGAGAGTGACAAGGAGGGGACAAACAGCAGCGGGGACTCTCACAGGCTGCGGAAGAGGAAGCGAAAGAGGAAGCAGCTTAGGAGGGGGGAAAGGAGGAAAGAGGAGGAGCAAGAGGAGGAGGTGGTGGGTGGTGCGGCGGCTTGGGCTGAGAGGGGAGGGCTGTCCGAAAGGGCAGGCCTGGCTGCTGCTTCTAGCGACTGGAATCTGCTTTTGGGTCCTTCAAGTGTCACCTGCAGCACGGTATGTGTCACTTGCAGCATGGTACGTTGCAGCACAATATGTATGAAGGGTGGAAGGGAAGGGAAGAGAGATGATCAAGAATTTGGTTACCCAGCCTTTGTTGTCCACTATTGGTCTTGGGCTACATGGTTGCATACCTGTAGTATCCACTCCCTTCTCATCCAGATCCCTCGCTCCTTCCTTTCCTCTTTTGTGTATTTTCAGAGGGAGCTTTCAGATGCCGTTGCAGATGGCTTGCTACGTTTGTACGTACTGTCGAAGGAGCTCATTGGATGAAAAGGTGGCCGGTATTGGAGCTTTGTTTGTACATACAATGGTGAATATGCCATATGTTTTCCTCCGTGACAAACAGTAGTGCCCATGTAAGCTACTGGGGGGAGGGGGGGGTGCTCTCTTTTGCCAAGCCAGAGGTTGTTTTCTGCTTGTGGGACACTCGGTGCTGTCCTTGCTCTTAGAAAGTGGCTACAGCGGAATGAGTTGCATTGATTGTTTGGGGTACCTAACCCTAACTGTTTGTACCCCATATAGCATGACCCACTAAAGGCTATAACATTTGACACACCCCCATAGCCTAAGTGGGGAATGCCAAGTAACAAGAACGCAACCTAAGGTCACAAGACCAGTCGCAAGCAAGAGAGGAAACAAAGCTCAGGGTGGATCACAACGTCACCACACAGTCTGAGCACAAACAAGGGGCCACAAGGCCAGTTCAAGAGAGTATAAGCTAATATATATATGTTACACACACACAAGAGGCAAGAAATCACTACTGCAGTCTACTAGACCCAGTCTCAACGAGACCTAACTGCAGACAAAATTGGCGGTGGTCACAAGGCTGAAGAGCCTTGGTGAAGATGTCTGCAGTGTTGGCCTCGGAGGCCACGAAGTCCAGACGAGCCTGTCCGCGTCGCTGCAACTCTCGAAGGAGGAAGTACCTGACGTCGATGTGCTTCACTCTGCTCTCCAGTCGAGGCTCACGACACAGGAGAATCATCGCCTTGTTGTCAGCAAACAAGGTCGGTGCAGAGCTCGGCCGCTCACCAAGGTCAGTGAGCAAGAAGGTCAACCAGCGTAGCTCCTGAGCAGCAAGGGCTCCAGCGTAGATCTCGGCCTCTGCGGTAGAAGTCGCAACAGAGGAGGACCGAGTATACCTCCACGAAACAGCTCCAGAGCCCAGGCTGAAACAGTAACCCTGTGTAGACCTCTGAGTCTCAACGTCGTCGGCGTAGGAGGAGTCGCAGTGACCGGTGAGTACAACTGGCTGTGTCCCTCCAAGTACAAGCCCCATGTCTGATGTCGCGCCGAGGTACTTCGCCACCCTCTTAGCCGCCGCCCAGTGAACAGGACGGTGTCTCCCAGTCGCAACAAAGCGAGAAAGGATGCTAAGAGGGAAGGCGAGGTCCGGGCGAGTACACGTCATCAGGTACATGAGGCAACCCACCAGCTCTGCGTAGGGACCACTGGGCTCGAACGGCTCGTCAGGAAAAGGCCCAGTGAGTCTGTGGTCTACAGCAAGAGGGGTGGGTGTAGGGGAAGAGTGCTGAAGCCCAAACCGCTGAAGGACCTGCTGCACCCTGTGTGACTGAGTCAGAGTGATGGTGCGAGCGGCTCTGTCCCTGGAGATCTGCAGGCCAAGGTAGTGGCGCAGTTCCCCAAGGTCAGTGCAGGTGTGTCTCTTCTGCAGTTCGGACTTCACCTCCGCCAGTACAACTGTGTCAGCTGTGGCAAAAACCAGGTCGTCAACGTAGACGAGAACGAAGAAAGGTGTGCGCCCACGACGAACAAACAGCGACGGGTCGGCGGAAGACGGCTCAAACCCGAGGTCGGAGAGAGTCGAGCGGAGAGTGTCGTGCCACTCACGGGGTGCCTGGCGGAGACCGTAGACCGGTCGTCTGAGGCTCCACTGGGTCCCTGGCGGGAAAGTGCCAGTGAAGCCCGGAGGACAACGCAGCCAGATCTCCTCGTGTAGGCGGCCCTGGAGGAAGGCAGTGGAGAAGTCAAGAGAGTGTAGCTCGTAGTCCCTCTGCGCTGCTACGTGCAGTAACACCCGAAGAGTGGTCATCTTCGGGGTGGGCGCGAAGGTCTGAATGAAGTCAACTCCCTCACGCTGACTGAACCCTCTAGCCACGTAGCGTGCCTTGAAAACTGGGGGAGATCCCGGCGGCCGCTTCACCTTGAAGATCCACATGCCGTCAACGATGTTCGCCCCTGGGGGGGAAACCTCGTCAACGTAAGTGCCTGTGGACCTGTAGGAGGCCATCTCTGCGTCCATGGCAGCTCTCCACTGAGAGGCCCAAGGCCCTGATACTGCCTCAGCGTAAGTGCGAGGAGTAGGTATGTCAGGAGCGTCGGGGTCTCCCTCAGGAGCGAGGAGCATGGCACAGAGATGAGGCGAAGCAGCTGCCAGGAACTCTAGCTCAAACTGTCTGTCCTCTAGGACGTCACAGCCAAGGGCAGACTCACCCCCGGCGGACAGAGGATGGACAGGAGGAGCGGCCACAACACGAGTGGCGTAGTCAAGGCGACGTGTAGCAGTAAAGTCAGTGACAGCGGCAGTGAGGACCGCGACGGAGGAAGGAGAGGCACGAGGGTCTGTAACAAGAGAGGCGAGAACACGAGAGAGAGTGGGGCGGTACGTGCGGTAGTAGTCAGAGACCGGAGTCGACAGGGAGGCAGTGAGGGACGACTCAGGAGGACGAGGAAGAACAGACTGAGGAGGACGAGGAGGACAAGAACGAAACAAAGCGGTACGGAGGTCAGTGACAGGGGACGAGGGACGAGCACGAGGAGGACGAGAGGTCCAAGTGTGGGCGAGTGGAGGGGGAGACGGAGGAGACTGAGAACGAGGGAACACAGCTGGAGCTGAGTCCAGAGGAGGAAACGTAGGACCGAACACGGGAGGAGAGGAGGGGAGACCAAGGGCCCGAAGGCCAGAAACAGGAGCCGGAGGCTGCTCCGGCTGCTGCTGCGGCGGCGGCTGCTGCTGCTGCTGCTGCTGCTGCTGCTCCTCCCGCTGCAACTCCAACCGCTCACGCTCCACCCGCTGCTGAACCTCCGACCTCTCACGCTCCAAACGCTGCTGCTCCTCACGCTCAAGACGAAGAAGGGTCTGGTAACGAGTCGGGTAGGGGTGAGGAGGAGGAGTGGTGTCAGGAGACGCAGCAGAAGAACCGGCTCCGTCCGCAGCAGTACCCGGCTGAGCACCCCCAGAGCGAGTACCTCCCGCGGCAGCACGACCAGCACCAGTAGGAGGCGCACCCGCACCCCCAGTCGTGGTGCCCCCAGTGGCACCAGCACCAGCCCCAGACTCTCCAGCTCCAGAAGCACCACCAGCTCCAGCACCCTCAGAACGGGCAGCTGCGGCAGGTGCACGCTCAGCGCGAACGCCAACACCCCCAGAACGGGCTGCTCCTGTAGGTGTACAAACAGGTCCAACGCCAGCACCCCTAGAGCGAGCACCCCTAGAGCCCTCACCTCGAGCACCAACACCCTCAGAGTCCGCAGTGGCCGGTAAAGGAAGCGCCGGCGGCTGCTGCGGAGGCTGTGAGGACGACTGTGGGGAAGGAGGAGA